CCGCTAGCGATTCCACTTGCAAATCCCTCCTGTTTCTCCTTCTGAACTCATTCCAAAAACAATAGAGATAAACCCGTGATACACAACATGCGGTAAACAGCTCTCTCCAAACATGTCCCGCACCTGAGCACACCTCTTTCTGGGAAGCATCTTCGGCACTTTTCTCGTCTCCTGTGACTCACCCCTGCTTTGCAACTGCCACAGCCCTCATATAGTTGATGTTAGTTGACATCAGTCCCCTTCCTGCAGCTAGCGCTTCCATTCGCAAATCCCTCCTCTTCTTCCTTCTGAACTCATTCCAAAAACAATCCAGGCGCCGGCCACGGGGCCCGTGTCCTTGCCGGAGGCCTTCGGCGGTTACCGAAGGTATGTTACCAAAGGTAACTAACGCTCGCGCCCCCTGCCGCCGACCCACCTCTGACGCACCGGGGGATGGGGGGGGACTGATCCCACTACTGATCCCCATGTAATTTACAGTGCTTTTGCCGCGTGGTTTCAGGCCCTTCGGCCGCGCATGGATTTCATCGCCCAAGATGGGCCAACATAGGCCCAAGACGGCTCAGCATGGGTATAGGCCCAAGATAGGCCCTAGCTGTGCCAACATGGGCCCAAGGTGGGCCAACATAGGCACTGGATGGCCCAACATAGATCAACATCACCCCAAGACCGCCCCACATAGACCAAAGATGGGTTCGACCTGGTCCCAAGACCACAACCACAACCACCACCGCAAGAACAAGAGCAAGAGCAAGAGCAAGAGCAAGAACAAGAACAACAACAACAACAACAACAACAACAACAACAACACCACCAGCAGCAGCAGCAGCAACAGCAACAGCAACAACAACAACAACAATAATTTAATAATCCATCCTATACATATATGTCTACATGTGTGTGTGTGTGTCTGATATCCGCCCCCCTGCTCCCCCCATGTCCTTCCTCCCTCTCCTGCATCGGCCGGCGCCCGGCTGTCAGGCGTAAGCCTTTAAATAGAAGTAACCCTGTGATACACAGTAATACACAACATGCCGTTGCTCAACTCTCTCCAAACATGTCCCGCACCTGAGCACACCTCTTTCTGGGAAGCATCTTCGGCACTTTTCTCATCTCCTGTGACTCCTGTATGGAGAAAGAGGGTGGCCAGGGCCGGCTGCGATGGGATGCGGTACCGTAAGTCGAACCGCTGGGGCGGTAGGTTAGTCTGAGAAGTGGTGGCTGCCAGGGGTACACTCCAGAATAATTACTCACATGGAAACTGAGAATGGCACCCTGAAAGACTGTTTTCATCAAACCAGTGGTTTTCAGGGTCCATGTTAGTTTTTCACGAAGTAGTAGTCATGGGAAGCTCCAGGCACCGTGGCCAAATCCATCACCCAACCTGCCCGGTTCCGGTGTCCGCCGGGTTCCCGGTGACGCTAGAAGATCATCCTGCGGTAGATGGAATATGAGCCATCCAATGGGCGTCCAATGCAAATCCCGGGTCATAGTGTGGGGTAGTCCAAACAGGATGGTCCTGGCAGTTTCCTGTGTTTTTTTTAAATTGGATTTTCAATGAGTTTCCCATATTATATCTACTCCAGGCCGACTCTCTCTCTCTCTCTCTCTCTTTGGAAAAGTAACAGAACTGCGCACGAGGACAACGGAGAGTCGAAACCCGCTGGCGACCTGAGAGCCTCTCATCCCACATCTCAAGGGTCTGCATCTCGTGGTGGGACCAACAAATAGCAGAACAGTCTTTCTGCAAATCCAGAAAACATGACCGTTCTCACTGGTCTTTTGCTGGATTTTCTTCTCAAGCCCTCCCTGGTCTTGGAACCCAAATCCAGAACATCTGCAGAACAGGCACGACATGCCCGTCGACT